AATAATAAATAGTTGTTACCGTTAAATAAATAAAAAATATTGAGAGAGCTTACCAGTTAATTGTTGGGATCATATTTTCTAAATTGTGGCTACCCACCTCCTCTTATTTTGATAATTGTGAATCCAAATCAGTTGAATAATTATTTATTTAGAAAAAGAACGTTTCTGCATCTGGTTTTACAGCGTAATCAATAGTTTACACCAATTAATTCGCAATTTGAGATTACCCTATTAAACGTTTAAGATTAGCTACGTGAAAATCTGCTTATTGGAATAAAAGTTATTCAATGTAATAACTCTTTTTCGGTTCAATGCAAGTTAATTTTAAGCATGCTAACTGGAAGAAAATATATTTCAATGCACCCATTATTGCTTCTAAATGTAAATTTTTGTTTACATATTTGAAAGTGATATAGAAAATTCTCACTCTGTCGAACTTGGCGCATCTGAGCTTTTTTTTGGATTCAAACCATGATTTTTAAGTACAGAAGTTTGCCAAGTATGACGATAAAAACGGTTTAAATTCTTGTGCAGATGATGTTTGGAACAACAATCATAAGATTTGGCACTGTTTCACAACAATGTTTAACATTTCACTTAAGATTTAAACTTAGTTTTTATACTTCGGGACTACTTTAAGTTGAAAAGAAACTGCTTCTATCAGATTTATCATTTATTTATTTGTCCCCAAATTGGAGTTGGAGTCGAGGAAAGTTTTTTCGGAGTCGTAAATATTGGATCGACTCCGATTCAGGATAATTAAATTGTAGATTAATAGGGGAACATATGATGATTGAATTAAAATTATTTACATAAATATTCATTATTATGTAAGCAAGAATATTATTCTAATGAATGTTAGGACAATTATTTTAATTATTTTTACTTAATTAAACACATTGGAATTTTTTGAATCTATGTTTAGGGAAGCAAAATACGAAAAATGAGTGAAATTTTCGAAAACCCGATTATAGTAACAAATAAATAATTAATAAATTATCTTTCAATTTGTAATTTCTAAAACTAAATTTATTTTGCTAAATAAATCCAAAAAAAAGAAGAAAAAAAAGCGAATGAATTTTTATTGTTTGTAATAGTTTCCTCCTTGATGAATCATCACTAACCTGATACAAGACACATTACATGTCAGTGAGTGATTACTAGCTTAAAATAATTTTGTACAATTTCACCATTTTGTGCAAATTATTTTTTTAAAATTTATTTCTTCAACTCTTATGTTAGAATACAAAATATCATTTTAGATAAGTTATTTTTACTTTAATCGTACGTACTTCAAAAATGTAAATATATAATTTGAAATAACAAATATTTAATATTAATACTTTCTTGGGATTCGACGGAAATTTTAATAGAGCAAAAATCACAGCTGGAGTTAAGAGTCTGATAGTCTGAAATTGGAGTAGAACATAAAAACTACCGACTCACGAGCACCGGTTAAAATAATGACTTTTTTGAAAAATCAGTTCATGCTAAAATTGAAACAGATGAAACAATCGTGGTTATGCTAGTATACTGCTTCTTAAAATTACTAAAATGTTTTATTTTTCTTCAAAAGAATGGGGACCATTTCCTATAAAAACCCAAATTATATTGTAATTCATTCCTATATATTGTGACATTTATTTTAAGTTTGATAAACGAAATATTCAGATGAGAAAATATTAGTACTTCATTTGAGTTGCTGAATTCAGTGAAAGAATCAGTTTTTTGATCACGTACGTTACGTTTTCTGAACATATAGGTGTGATATAAGTAAAGGTGCGTAATTGTCAATATCATGTCTTCGAATACGAAATTGTGGATCCTTAACCTCTATTACACCTTAGTGCCATAGTGGCTTTTATTCAATAATAAATAAATATTCAGTTATTGAGTTGTAATTGAATACGAATTTTGAAGATTAATTCATATAATGAGTTCGATTTCCCTTTGCCATTAGATTAAATGTGCGAGATTTTCGTGGTTTTCCTCTCCGTGTAAGGCAAATGCTGGTTAGTTTCATCAAAATGTCGTCCACAAAGACAAATTTCTTCCAATACTTGATCTAGGAGTTCCCTTGTCTTTTGGATTGGGTTCAAAATTACAAGGTTACAGAGTTGAACGTTAGTAGTCGTAAATCCAAAAATTGGGTCGGCTGTTTAACGACAGTTATAAAATAAAGTACACTTAGATCAAATCTTCTAAATTTCCACGACAAAGCACAGTCTTACTGAAAGTGTCCATTTTCTTTTAAATTTTTTTTTTATTTATTATTTATTTTTTAAAGAAAAGTTCCCTTGATTGTTCTCTAATGTTGATTATAAATTTTTCTATGGGAGGATATCTATTTATTCCCGCTAGTCTATCCGTTGGCAGCACACCTATCCATTTTTTGTTGTTTGTTGCTACTTTTGTGTTAATTAATACTTTTTTCATTCGTGTATATTAGTGACAATCACGTCTATTAGTACTCTTTTTATTCGTGTATATTAGTGACAGTCACGTCTATTAGTACTCTTTTCATTCATGTATATTAGTGACAGTTGCGTCTATTAGTACTCTTTTCATTCGTGTATATTAGTGACAGCCACGTCTATTAGTACCCTTTTCATTCATGTATATTAGTGACAGTCGCGTCTATAATTACTCTTTTCATTCGTGTATATTAGTGACAGCCACGTCTATTAGTACCCTTTTCATTCATGTATATTAGTGACAATCACGTCTATTAGAACTCTTTTCATTCATGTATATTAGTGACAGTCGCGTCTATTAGTACTCTTTTCATTCGTGTATATTAGTGACAGCCACGTCTATTAGTACCCTTTTCATTCGTGTATATTAGTGGCAGTCACGTCTATAATTACTCTTTTCATTCGTGTATATTAGTGACAGTCACGTCTATTAGTACCCTTTTCATTCGTGTATATTAGTGACAATCTCGCCTATTAGTACACTTTTCATTCATGAATATCAGAAACATTTGTGGGCCGGTATAGTCTGGTTCGTAAGACGTTGGATTCGTGTTCGTGAGAATGGGAGTTTAAATGAAACCGGCCGAAGAATCTCCGCGTATTAAATGATGTCTGGTGCACCTTAAATCTGTCGGGGTCACAAACTCCTCTAAATTCCCATAACAAATCGATTCCTTTGAGGGTACTGAATTGGAGATGGATCGTTCTCTGGTTCAGGTCAGAATGACGACCTACGGATGGATGAAAGACGTGGGAATGAATCCTCCCATTGAAACGAGCTGTGACGTATGTGTGTGGCAAAGTCGCATTCTTAGCCATAGCAGGCTCGCTGATATTGGCTAGTGGCATATTTAACAACAGCATAAACATCTGCGTTCAATAATGACATTTTAGAAATATCAGCGATATTATCATGCAAGAATATCATTAACTTTCGTGTTAATCGATCATTTTTCAATCCTAAATATCAGTGATATTACTCAATCAATATTTTTTTTTAATTTCATACGTGACACTGTAAATGAATAACTTTTCGTTCATGAATGTCAGTGACATTTGTGTTAATTAATATTTTTATTCATAAATATCAATGACGTTTGAGTCAATCAATATTTTTTTTATTCGTGAATACAATGAGATTTGGGACACTTATTACTTTTTCATTCCGAGTTGAGTGTGAAAATAGTTTTGATGTTGATTAACTGTTTTCGTTTGATTCATAATTATCTGGATATTTTCATCAAATTCTTCGAAATAATTAATTATTTTGAAATTATTCAAAATATCCCATTAAAGATAATATGCCAGAAATAGTTTTTTTTTAATCACTTAATGACTTCCAAATCAATAAACTTTCTAAATATGATAATTTGAAAAGCGGAATATGATATTTTCAAAGCATAAAGCAAGTGGAAATGATGATTTTAACTTTTCCACTTTTTCTTTAAAGTGTCCTCAAAGTAAAAATCAAACATATTCTTTAACAAGATGTATTCAAAAATCGGTTTTAAATGTTGTTTTCTTTTTTCTCTTTTGTGTTGTTTTAAAACAATTGATCCACTCTTTTTTTTTTTCAAATACTATAATAAACATTTTTCTTATTTGAGCGTACATTAACTTTTTTTGGAATTTTTTGAAAACAAGAAAGAAAAAAAAAGATATTTTAAAGAATAAATATAGAATTTAAATTAAGAAAAATATATATAATAATTTGAAAATTAAATTTAAAATGAAATATTTGCTTTCATTTTTTTTTATTCTACTTTTTTAAATCTGTTATCTGTTTTCTTAAATTAACAAATGATCTTAATAAAATTAAAACATTTTTTTAACAATGTTTAACTAACACGCATGAAACTTTTTTTAAGAAAGGAAAAGGATACGTGAAACAAAGTTGTATTTTATAATGTCATATATTATGAATCTTTAAAATTTCCTTTTTTTTTAAAATTAATTTTTCTTCTTTCTTTTTTTTTTTTTTTATNCAATTATCTTATTTGAGCGTACATTAACTTTTTTTGGAATTTTTTGAAAACAAGAAAGAAAAAAAGAGATATTTTAAAGAATAAATGTAGAATTTAAATTAAAAAAAAAATATATATATATAATAATTTGGAAATTAAATTTAAAATGAAATATTTGCTTTAATTTTTTTTTAATTTCTACTTTTTTAAATCTGTTATCTTTTTTTTAAATTAAAATTTTATCTTAATAAAATTAAAACATTTTTTTAACAATGTTTAACTAATACACATGAAACTTTTTTTAAGAAAGGAAAAGGATACGTGTAACAAAGTTGTATTTTATAATGTCATGTATTATAAATCTTTACAATTTCCTTTTTTTTTAAAATTAATTTTTCTTCTTTCTTTTTTTTTTTAAATTTTATTTCATTCAATTTTCCGCTACTTTTTTTCACACAAAATAATTTTGAATAAATCAGTTGGCTTTGATGTTTAAATTTCACCCTAAATATAGCGCTTAATACCAAACAATGGTAACCCTCTTGGCGAGAATGATTTGTTATCATTCTTTTCATGTGGCAGTCTCTTACGAGAAGCGGACGTGGGAAGGCTGTGTGGTTAAACCGCGGTGGAAATAGTTGGTTTGTCTGTCTAAAGTATTGGGGAACACGAGGAATAATATTCATGGAATTTATTTATTTTTTGACAGACATTTAGATAATCCAAAATTGTTCTATCCAAACCTGTAAGTAAAAGTTTTCTGTTCTTTTGACTTTGAATTTTTGAGGAGTAAACGTTTGTTTACGTTTTAACGGCGCGTTCGATCACATGTTGCATCCCTACCTTACTCGCTTTAGGGGACTAACATTTTTTAGTGACAGCTAAAAATGTGTTAATAAATTATATGAAAAATGTTTAGTTTAATTTTACGCTTCTAGAGAAAATTGAATGGGTCAGTTTGCTTCCGTTAAAGACTTAATTCTATTCTCTTAAATTGTTCTCTCGTATTCTTTTTTTTTTACTTTTAATCTTTATTATTTTTTATTTAAATGAAATAAAAAACTTAAATTTGTTTTGAGTAAGCGTGAAGAGTATTATATTAAAATTATTTTGCAAGTTTTTGAAAATTTTCACATTATTAATTAGGTAAATGTATCCATTATATTATAAATTAGGTAATATATAAATAAATGGATCATCTGCGTTAATTACTAAATTCAAGATCTAGAATTTATTTTCTTTAACTTAACTGTTTGAAACCGCATATGATGGAACAAACTGTAGAAATTTAAAATTTTATTCAATTTTATTATTATTACTATTTACAAATGTTTAATTGAGTTCATGTTTCGTTTATGTTTAAGAATTTTTCTGTTATCTACAAAAATTCAATTAAAGTAAAAATTCCTTAATGTTCTATGTAATTTTTTAACATTATATAGTTTTTTATAAGCACTTCTGAATAATTGTCTTATTAATTATAGAATTATTTAAAATTTTAGAAAGTAATGTTTGTATTATAGTTAACAGGTTGCTGATTTAAGACTTATTGAATCATAAATTAAATCTGTCAAGTTGAAAACTCTTAGTCCAATACTAAAATCAAAAACTGCCGTTACATCAAATGTTATCTTTTCTTAAAGAAATTGTCTTACCTTAAAGGGGAAGAAGAAAAAAAATTGTATTTTTACAAAGAATATACATGTTTCAAATTTTTAAAAACGTTGTTTTTGCTTTTATCTTTCCAAAACTTGAAATTATTGCCATGCATAAAAATTGGAGCAGTTCTTATTTTAAGGTATATATTGATAGATGAGTTCTAATCCACGTAGAAAAGACTAAAATTCAATTTTGTAATTTATTTATCTTTAAGTGTTTAACACATGCTCTGAAATGTTTTGCCATAGTTAATTATTATTTCAAGCAATTAAAGATTAATTTTTAATTGTATGTTAATAGACTACACGTTGTATCTTTGTGATTTCCTAATCTTAAGTCTTCAGACCTTTTTGACAGATTTGGATGGTTTAAACTAGTTTTTTTATGCTTGTTTACTTCATTATTGTTTCAAAATGATCATTTTTGTACAAAATTAAGACAAACCTTTAAATTTTGTTGAAACTATTCCTAAATGTTGTGCCTGAATCCCTAATTAGACATTTTGGCAAAATCAATTTTTAAAGCAAGTTATTATTTTTTTTTCTTACCTCCCCTCCTCAAATTTTAGTTCAATTTCATTTTTGTTGCAACGTTTGAGAATTTGTAATTTTAATTAGCTTAGCATCATTGATATAAATTATTTAGTTGCAGATATTCGGTAAAAACTTAAAATAATTCGGTATTTGCTCCCAAGTATAAATTCATCAATTACAATTTATAAATTTTTTTCTCCTTAATTGGTTCAAAATCAATGTAAATGGCTAATTTAGACCACAATATTTATTTTTTCGACATTTGTTTCTTGGAGTACTTTATGCTTATGTGCTTTTCAAATAATTTTTGAAGCATTAAAAATGCGGTGTTTTTATATGAAAAAATTGATTGAAAAAGTTAAAAATCAGTGACGCTTTATGAAACTGAAATTTGAAAATTATTTTCCGTTAGTATTTTTATTGTTAATTTAACCACTGGCGTTAGTTGCGTTCGAATTCAGTTTAAAATTTTGAAAATTAAACAAACTTTTTTTCTCCATGTTCCACAAAATCATACTTTTACTACTAACTGTGTTCTAAAATAGTTTACATAAATTGATTTAACTTCGTTAAACAATTCTTTATATTAAGCATGTATGAAGTGAATATCTATCCATTCAACCATTCAAAATGCCGGTGGGGGAAAAAAACGTGTTGTTTCGACTGTGTTGCCACGTAAGGATTTGGAACAGAAATGTATGTAATGTATCTTATCTGATAACGATTAAAGAATGAGCGATTAAACAATCGTTTTGTTTACTTCTTCTGTTCACAAAGTGTGTTGGTCTTCTGTTCACAAAGTAACAAAATAAAATAAAAATAAAAAATACAACTGCAAAAAAAAAAAAAAAAAAAAAAAAAAAAAAAAAAAAAAAAAAAAAAANAAAACTTAAAATAAAAATTTATCAATCAAAACTTCATATTAAAAAGGACAAGCCCAAACATGTCATTTTTAGCATTTTTTATTAAATTTAGTAATATTTTAGCAGGAATAAATTTTAATTTCCCTAGGAAAAAAAAACATAGAAACCTATCAATACCTTTAAATAGGCTGAGAAATTTGCACCATACTTTATTTCAATATTTTTTATTATTATTAAGCCACAAGTCTGCGAAACCAACGATATTTAATTTTTTTTTCTTACCCCTCTGCTTTTTTTCTTTCTTTTTTATTAAAAGCTTACACGACCCCTATGTATAGGGCTTTACAAATATTCAAAATTCCTAAGAGTTATAACATTATGAGGTGTATGGTAAGCCACCTGCTTATGAATAGAAAAAATTTACTTGGCTAATTAGATCTAATTTTTATTTTATATTCCTGGAAATAATAGAAATAATTCTTACCAGTCAGTACAAATTTCTTTTAACATGCTTAAAATGTATGAAAATAGATTATAATTAATGGAATATGTTAAATATTAAAGAAATGTAATAAATTTCTTTTTTACATATTTCATTATTTGGGATTAACTTTTGAGATTTAAAGGAAGTGTTTGGTTTTACTGGTAGCCTTGAAATTTCTTCAAGTAATGCATTAATACTATTGTTTTTTTGCGTGACATTACAGTTAAATAATGAAACTTGTTTTACGAGAACTTATACCTCAACATCCGGGTATCTCGATATAAAAATATTTTTAAACACGATCATCATTTCTATGCGTTTAAAAGGTTATAAAGATGTTAAGTTATAATAATGCTCCGTTTGAAAATTAACTCTCCTTAGCTCCTTCTAATTATTTTTTAAGGAAAAATGAAGTACAATAATAATGCCGTTATCGCGCTGTGTAGAGCTGCCAATATATCGTGAAATAATGATCTTTAGATAGTGCGATAACAATATTTTTAAAAGCGATCTCGCGATATGTCGTAAAAGCCACTTCTTACAATGCATATCGAATGTAACGATAATATTGCAAGCCTTGTAACTTTAAGTGAATCTTTCTTATCCGTTCTATCTTTTGTTCTTTTTTTAAAAAATTTTTTTGTGAGAAACTAGTTTAATAATAATATCGTAATAATTTAATATAGAGTTGGGCGATATGTCGTGTACAATAGATATTATTTAGGCAACGCTATACTATAATTTTAAAAAGTATTCTTACAATGCATCAAAAATATCATGTCTTCTATCGTAAAATACAAATATCGAATATATCAGTTATATCGCGAGTATTATCGTATACGCTACTAACGTGATCTTTATCGACCAAGATGATATTAAATACAATAATATCGCCAACATTATCAATAACGATATTTTTCGAATACGATACAAATCGAATATTTTTCGAATACGTGTTGATGAAAATTATTTGTTAAATTGGGATAATACTGGGAGTAATTAAAATCCATTATTTTCGTGCACGAAATTATCGGAGTTATTACATTCAATAATAAATATTGAATACGATAACTTCGCAAATACTGTCGATAACGATAATTATAGAAAACGATATTATGGTGAGCGTTGATATATCTTATCTGCGTAACGAAAATATAAATCGATATCTACCTAAAATTCTCAAGGGTTCAATATTACATTAGATCTTTATGTAAATTTGTAATTTTGAATGAAAAGAAAGCTACTTTGTGGGAATCGTACAACGGCAAATAAAAAAAAAAAAAAAAAAAAAAAAAAAAAAAAAAANATAATAAAAAAATTCTGGTTCGTTGAAGTTCAAAAATTGGATTTAATGTGATTAAACAAACAAACATAGGACGTTATTTGTGTGAATTTTATTTAATTTAATTTTTATTTTAATACTTATTAAAAAAATTCCAAGAATATAAATTTATCCCCAGGGCCCTAATGTCATAAAAGCACGGTTGTCATAAAATTTGAGTGAAGTAAAATATATTTCGTAAGAGTTAGTTTTAAATATTGTGAAGTAATAAATATATCTACTATAAATTATTGCGGATAACATAAAGATACGCGACGGCACTTTAAGTACACTATTTATTTCCTTTTATATACATATAGTTATATAAAATATGTATAAAATCACATTTTATTTTTCTTTCACATTTTTTAAAACTTTTCTTCGCTCAAATTGCACATTAAACTACTTTTCGAGTGTGTTTTACTGTTTCATTGTTTACACGTGTACTTTCTTCAATATTTACTTTGTCTAGTTTGAAGCATCAACAAAATGATTTATTGCCAATGCGCGACGACAAGAAAAAAGCAATGAAACAATAGTAATAATACGGATTTAACTGACCTTTTTTACGAGTCTCTTTTTTGTTTGTTTGTTTCTTTAGCTGTTATAGATTTTTTTTTTAAAAGAAGTATTTTTAATGTACATCAAAGCTTGATTTTTATTCCAAGTTAAGATGCTTTCACCTAATAGTATTTTACTTAATTATAGACAAGAGTTGCATAATTGTTAGGTTATCAAAATTATTTACTTTGCATATTATTTAAGCGAAGTGGGATTTAGATGAATATTTGTATTCAAACTTTTGGTTTTAAGTAATTTGTAGTTCAATTTGTCTTAATATGAGACGTAATTGAATTTTATGTAATAAAAAAAAATTAAATAGAA